GCTACACTCTGCCCTCAATATCCATTTAGGTTCCAGCCTGCTGTAACAGAGATTTCCGCACCTGTTTCAGAATCCTTACAGTCAATAGAACCTGACAATATTTATTTTTTTTTTTCATCTTTTTCCCACTATGGAACTCATTCTCAGAAAAAGGTAACCGGAAATAGCATGAAATAGCACTTGCTTTTGTTTATTTTAAAGCTGGTGCACGATATCTACGTTTAATACCTCTGAATCTTGTACTGAAAGAAGCAATCATCTAAACATTTTCTCCATGTCGTTCACTATGTTAAACATACCTATGAATACCCTTTGCTTGCTCTACCTCAAACTGGAAAGTCTAAGTGTATTCAATCTTTCTGAGCATGGAAATAGCTCCATTTTTATTACCACTATACATACCTAATTCCTCTAGATCTGTTTCAAAATTAGTTGAAGAGAATTAAACGTGTTATCGAAGATAGAGGCACGAAGGATATTTATACAGTGGTATAACACATTCTTGGGTTTTCTGCATTTATCTCCTAATATGTCCATGTTCTTTTAACTGTTGCTGGTCAGTAAGTCAGAGAACCATCCACAATAATTCCAAGATCTCTTTCCCGATTTGCAAGGCATAACTAAGTCCATCATTAGTTGTCTGATCAATCTTCCCAACAAACACTACCTTACATCCATCACAACTGAGTTTGGCCTATGGTTTTGCTGCCCCATCACTTAGCACTGTGAAATCCCTCTGACATTCCTCACAGTCAGCTTTTGGTCTTGCTACCTGGAAAAATGTGTCATTCTTCATCCTCCATTCCAGACAGCTTATGAGCACTTTGAACAGCAGAGACCCCAGCACATATTCTCCAGAGGACTCCACGGGTAACATCCCTGTATTGTGCAATCTTATTTTTTTCCATATAGTTTTCAATCTTTACCTTAACCACTACAGGATTACACCAGTTTACTTTCCCAAAAGTCTCTGAATTATTTTTTTTTTTTAAGAAATCCAGACATATTGTATTAGTTAAATGACCTTTATCAAATGCTTATCCAGTCACTCAAACAACATGAGCAGATGTACAAGGCAGGACTTCCTGCTGCAGAAGACAACTTGACTCCTCTCTATCATCACCTTTATTCCTGTGAACAAACACTAATTCTACTTTTTTTTTTAATAGTTTCTGCCACGGTGCCTAATATAGAAACCAGGCTCACTACTAGTTTCCAGTTTCCCAAAGGCTTCATGGGCCCCTCTTGAAAAGCCTGACACGTTTACTGCTTTCCATTCTTCCATTCTAAGGCCAATTTAAGCAATGATTATACACAACCGTGTGCAACTCGGCAACTTCACTACTGAGTTCTTCACAAAGTGAGAATTTTTCCTAACAATCTATTGTGCCGATTTGCTTCAAAATGTCAACCTTCTGTCAGCTTTCCCCAGCTTGTCCCCCAGAAAGGAAGGCTCCACGTGGGAACTGTGCAGCCGTGAACAGCAATGCAAATAACTTCTCTGCTATGGCTTGAACTTCCCTGAGCTCACATGTAATATTATGACCGTCTATCAGCCCATTGGGATCTCTGGCAGGCTTTCTGCTTTTGACAGTTAGAGAAAAAGCTTTTTTTTTTTTTATGCCTTTATAAAAATGTTCCTCAACATTTTTTTGGCCTATCATATTATGGTTTATATTTAGCTTGCCAAAGTTAATGCTCTTTCCTATTGTCCTCATTTGGATACAACTCCTGCTTCAGAAAGATGACTTATTTCTTGGAGTCGTGTTTACTTTACTGTTTAAGCGCGTCCTTGTTCATTTTTGTGGCTTTCCTTCAATCTCTTATTTCCCCTCCTTTCTTGGACTTTCACCATCAAAACTGGACACAATATTCTAGAAGTCTTGGGTTGTGGGGTTTTTGGAGGGTTTGGGTTTTTAATTTTAGAACAGTGCTACACACAAAATTTCTCAACGTTTTTGTTGAGAATTTTGTTGAGATTACATGAAGCTTTCTCTATGTCTGTTTCCAAGACAGAGTTTTTCTGTCTTGAAGGTATAATCTGCATTTGTTCCTCCCAGATGTCTTACTTCATATTGGATGTATTAACATATATTTTGTTGGACTGTGGCCATTTCAATCACGCAGTCCAGATTGTTCTCTAAAAGCAACCAATCTTTTATTTAGTACTCTCCAATAAGAGCATCATCTGCACACTTAACCTATTATTTTTTCCAGCTACGATTATTGATGAAGGCATCCCGTATTGCTAGAATGAGAACTGATCAACTGAGGACCTCATTGAAAAAAAAAAAAAACCCCACACCATTTAGTTCTTTCCTTACCAGCATCCTTATTTTGAGATTTCTCAGGGCATTGCTCTTTTATCCATCTAGCACTTGCTTATGCTTAATAAAGTCTGAACTCACATTTTTATCATTCAAGAAGCACTTACCAAGAAGAGTTACATCCTCTGAAAAATATTTATTCTATCTCAACTATTTCCACCGTATTTTGCCTATTTACATTTAAAATTGCACTAAAAAAAGTCAGGAACCTTTAGAATGGGAAAACATTTATTCATTTTATTCATGCTTGAAAACAGCCAAAGCAACTTTATCCAAATAATAAAAAAAAACCCCAACAAAACCACACATTTTGTAGCAAAGACCAAGCCTGAAAAATGTCAGCCACAGAGATGATGTTTTCCTAATGATACAAGCAACTGAAAACAAAAGCTAGAATAAAAGAAGTCATGCAGCTCAAATTTTTAAATCAACAGCCAAGCTAATTTGGCTTTAAGAGTTCTAAACATATTAAATTATGACACCTGGCTTGGCAATACTAACTTTGCATAGTTCTTTGAGTATGAAAGAAGTTTCACAAGAGAAAGAATCTTAAGCGTAGAATGGAGTTCTTTGCAGAACTACTAGTCAGCCATCCTTACACCAGTCCCAGGTAAAATAACGAAATATCTAGCACTGAATTCAATTAATAAAGAATTAAAGGGCATCCTCAAAAAAAACGTCAACCTTAGTAAGGTTTAGGGTTCATGTTAGGGAAGCAACTGAACATAAAACCCCAGCAAGATGCTGTCATTAGAACTATGAATATGATTTTTCAACATATGAAGAAAAGAACAACCACCTAGTTAGACTAAAGACAAGTTACTACCTCTTTGCATGGTATTAGCTACTGGGAGATTTGTTAAGTAAAAACAGCAATCTGTAAGCAGCTACTGAGGAAGAGAACAAATAACACTTTGAATTCTAGCAGACAAAAAAATCTCCTTCTTGAAGCCAAATTCTTCAATAAATTTAAAATTAGATTAGTATTTTTTAAATAATTAGTTTTTCCGTAGGAATAACGTAGCACATTATCACCAGATTCTCTATCAATTGAAATCTTGTAAATCGAGTTAACTAGCCTGTGATCCATGATGAATTTACTGGAAGAAAACATCATGTACTGTGTCATGAAACAAATCAGGATAAAGGGACCATTAATGGTATTTTTCTGGCCTTAATAACTGTACTAAACAGTCTTCCTTCTTCAGTGTATATAATTTCTCCCTGCAGAATCAATATGTAACAACAGCCATGCCTTGGAAAGGGCAGTTAGGTTTCAGCTGATTAAAGAAAGGACGGCTTTAGGTTCAGACATCTTACCACAGTCATATTACCTTATATTCCTGTTCTATACTATTTACATTTAATATGTACACAAACACAGATTTAAAAGCACTCCAAGTTCTCAAAACAAGAGGATGATAATGTATCTACCTTTGGTTCTAGTATTTATTTATATTCGATCCAGAGTTCCAACATTCACACAGAAGATAATACTGATAATTGTTTGGTTTACACTGGTGATGGAGAACACAGTCTCAGTGCTTAGTGTTTTGTTTTGTTTTTAAGGCCTGGCTGTAGTATCTGCTGGTTACAAGGCAATGTCAGATTTTTAATTTTAAAAGTTTGCTGATATCACGTTTGCTAATAAAAATAATCAAAGAAGATATCATCAGTTTCAGGCTTGGCCTGTAGTCACCCAACCTAACCTCTATCTGTGCAAGTCATGGAAATTCCCTCCTCAAAAGAAACAAAATACATCTTTTAGAAAAGTACCAGTTGTGTTAAAAAGTCCACAACTCTTGCCAAAGAGATCACTGCACTAGAACATCTTTTCCATGTGCAGTAGAAGCTTGTACAAAGGTCAATAACCGTTTGGTCAAATTTTCCATTTGGTGAACCAAACTGAGCCTTGAGCCTCAACAGTATAACTTTCTTGCCAATCTATTTTCTGAATTGTCTTCCAGCAACTCTGTATACTCCTTGAAACGCAGAAGCCACATGGTGCATTAAAGAAAGCCGTAAACCAAATTTAAAGATAAGTTTTGGTTGATCTGTTATGATTACGTCTCTCATTTCTATTTTCTCTATTTCTGAGAGCTATTAAACAGTCCACCCTTTCAGAAGGAAACAAATTCTGAAGAAATTAGTAACACTTCAGCTAACAATAATTCCTCAACACAGTAAGATGCACAATTTGTTAATAAAATGTCTTAGACTCTTTGGAAAACACTATTGCAAAGCTTCCAGGCACCCAAGGGATGCTTTATCCTATTCTTCCAAGTAAAAAAAAAAAAATAAAACCCACACTTTACCACTCCAGGTAACTTGATCTGTCACTTCATGACCAAACCTTCCTAAAGCTGACATCATCTGGTTCCAGCAGCGAGCTTGACTGCACATCTGTATCATGCATTGACAATATAATTTGTTTTATTAATTCAATACACAGAACTCTTTACTCTTTGAGCAAGCTCCTAGTCAGACTAAAATCAATTAAGCCATTGCCACTGACCACTCAGCCCAGAATTTTAACATCAGTGTCCCCCGGAACCTGTCAAGCAACAGAGTAATTACACTTTTCAAGATAATCTCAGCAGACCACCCACCTTGAAGGATGAGAAGTCATCAGAGGAATAGGGAAAAAAATCTCACAGTAAAGTAATTACTTACTTTGGAAAGATGACAGTCATGAGCGCTGATGCATACCCAGGCTTGCACGCTCCCTCAGAGAAATTTGCATACTTTGATGCCAATTCTGGAGGCCTGTGAAAAAATACATACAGAGTCAGGACTCTCTTGGCCATCAAGTGGCTTTTGCAATCATCCAAGTTCTTTTTTTACTTATAGCTTTTCTCAAAAAGAGCTGTGAGGAATAACAGAAAAGAGATAGGTATTTGTTGCAATATAGCATCACAGAAGAACAACAAACAAAGAACAGGGTTAAAGATATCTGAAATACCACTAAACTACCACTTTTGCTGAAAGATTTTAATACCTAGGAAGGTAAAGCTCATGGAAGAAAAATATCAAGATACCATTTTAGACTTCAGCCTTTCGAAAGGTAGAAAACGTAAACAGCACTTTGCTTCAGCTATTTTTCTAAAGCATGGTCAAAGTTAAAATCATAGAAAAGTATTATTTAGAATATTATTTAGAAGATACCTTTTAAGCATTTGAAACAAACTGCCGAGCAGTTCTGAAGGGTTATCAAGGGATGCATGCTTTCAACACTTGGAACTGATGACACTGCTGCTGTTCTGTTGAGATGTGTCTTAATTCAGCTTGACTAGTGACTTTGGGGCCAAATTCAGAATATTGCGCTTTTTTCATTTAGCTTTTGTACGGAAACAGGATTAGCAACTCAAAAAAAGATATTTAAGTCCTGTACGTACTTTTACCATAGATCTACTGAGTGACCTGGAAAAAAACATTTAATTTTATTTATGTCCCTATTCACCACCTGCAAAATTTTTACACTCGTCCATTTCATGAATTATATATAAGAGTTAACACATTTGTGCTTTCAGAGTAACATTAGATATCTTACTGTCTCAGTCACACTATGAGAATTATTAATATTCCTTAAAAAAAAAAAATGCATTCACAGTTGCATGCTCAACATTCAGTGGAAGCTGCAAGTGTTAACTACTGCAAAGAGTCGATCAATAATATCGTATTTGCTACACCATTTTGTTAGTAGTAGGCAAGTAATGAAAGGTTTTTTCCTACAGGTCCTGCAGTAGGAGTCAAATGAAGATGACAGTACAGATCCAGAGAGTAGATCCACAAAATAATTTTGAAGAGCCCCTTATTATCACAACCATGCTTTGTTTTCCACGCACCACCAACATGTACATCACCAACAGGAGTTAACAAGCAAACGACTGCTAAAGGTAATGAGCACAGGTTCAGAGAGTTTCAAGTGATTGGACCCCTGAGCCAAAGGCAGGGTCCTGGAGCGATTGTGAGCAGTGGTGCAAACAGAACCTTGGCTGGCAAAATTACCTGTCTGAATGACAGTAACCTCATGCTGAACTGGTAATAACTATCCTCCTCGTACCGGTCCTGGGGTCAATTTCCAAAGGATCACTAGCCAGTTCCAACTGGGTGATCAATAGATGGACAGTTAATTTTACAGTTAGCTGCATATGGTACAAAACCTCCTAAATCTATTGTTCTTAAAGAAAAAAGTCATTCTGCTGAATAAAATTCTAAACCTTCAACAGCTGGAAGAGGAAACAAACTGGAGAAAATAACAAGTCACTGTAAGTATTTAATTTCTTAAGAGTTTTGCACATGATAAGCACCAGAAAAAGCTTAAGAACGTGAACTCGATTCTAATTCTGTCACAGATTTACTGCATAGTTTTGGTCAAAACATATATTTTACTATCATAATTCTCATCTGTAGGATGGCACAATGATACATTTGATTGTTTATAATGTCAATTATTTACAGCAAAGTTTAGATTTCTCTAAATACATTATATAGATATGGAGAGATAGATACAGGTGTAACATTGTCTAGCACAACCCAAATCCACGAGTTTGGTTTCCACAGGTGATGTTACAATACATATCTCTAAATGAGAGAGATGAGAAAGCATCTAAGACGTGAGCATCCAAAAGTTTGAATCCTGAAGACTTGCACTGCATGATTTGTGTTGTGACTCCAGTCAGGATCTTTTTAGAAATAGGCAGAGGAAGGAAAGGCCTGTTGCTGACAAAACACAAGGTTTTAATGGTGCTAAAATATGTCCCCTGCTGACATAGTCAAAAGGGACAGCACGGTGTACAGATCACAGCTTGTTCAAGCATTTCAGATACGAAGTGAGGAAAATCTTAATCTTTATCAAGCAAACTTAACTGTTGCTGAATTTTTATTGTTTAAGCAATATACAGAAATCCCTAACACCAAAATCTTCAAAAACAAGTAGAAAGCAACTGGAATTTATCTGCAGCCACCACGGTAGTGAGTCATTGCTGGCAAACTTGTGTAACTATTTCAACAGCAGGCCTTTCTCAAATGACCTCAGTGGTCACGCAAAATATCTTGTGCCACAAACACAGGCATTTTTCTCTTTTCTGATTTAATGGTGCTTTCATTATCAAATTAAAATGTCACTCAGATGCCCATCATGGTGTTTCTGCAAAAGAACAGTAGGCTGAAAACCCTCATGTATTTGAGTGGCACAGAATGCCAATCAGAGCTGCATACTGATGGTGGAGCCGTCAATTACAAAACCCACAAAGATACTGAGAGCCACTAAAGCCCGAGGGGCCCAGCCCCTTAACATTTCTTGGATGTGATGAAGTTCATGATCCAGAATGTCAGAGGCAGAACAATTCTCCTAAGGCAGTTGTAACTGCCATTCCATATCATTCAACACTCACTCATCTTGTTTCTTCTAGCCACACACTGAGCCAGCAGGCTACAGAAAACTAGAAACGGGCACTCTACATTTTAAATCCATCTAAGGACACATTTTATTTGTTCCATTTCTTCGGGCTTCACATTACACACTGTCATTGCCAGCATGCTCATAATGATAAGCCTACATTAGGTGTAACTCAAAGCACCAGATTTAGAGTAATGCTGGATACAGCCTTGCTGTCTACCACTCTGCTACCTCAGGAAGCTATCCAAGCTAACATCATTTCAGACACATAAATTTGTTTTGTGGTTTTTCTTCTGCAAGATTCACAGATCGTGCAGAGATTGCTCTCCCATAAATCAGACTGCAAAGCATCCTGCATGAAGCATCCCATAGAGAACCACACATTTTTCAAATAAATCCAGCTTTGTAAAATCACACTGCTGTTAGTAGGTACACAGTTCTGTAACAAAAAAAGGTATGAAATGAAGCATATGAATAAGCATCTCCTTCATATCTAATGACAATGTACTTATTACACTGCTGGATGTATTGCTACTTCTTTGATTATGTTTCTTCTTTCCAAATGGAAGAAGCACTATTACTGAAAGTACGTTCTGCAAAGGCTGCCCGACAAACTACCAAAACAAAGTGCATGACATTAAAAGAGCTGATGTTTGATTCTTGTTTTATAATCCTGAATGCTGCCTACGACAGAGAGGTTAAGAACTATGCACCAAACCAAACAATACTACTTTCTTCGTGCTTTACTGCTAAATAGCTTCATCTCACTTGCTCCATTACTGTGCCTGGAATCCAAGGATCATACGGAAATCTGCTGCTGTAAGCCAGGCAGTGCTACCATGACTGTTATGGCACAAAGGTGCAAATCTCCTTTAGGACTTCCAGGTCCAAGCACATCTATTCCAGCTCCTGATTCTCATGCTCCTAGCTACAGTGAGACCATCAGATAGGGTGAGGCAGTTCCAAAGCTAGTGGAGACAACAGAAAGGATATAGTTAGATAACACTGTGGACCCTTAAATTTTGCTCAGATTTTGCGCGGGAAAAACACAGTAAGACAATAAATTTCTCCAGAATAAATGAAACAACTCATAGTCAGTAACTGTAAACATCTGCAGTTTTTAAACAAGTGCCTGCATGAGGGTGAAGTTAAAGGGAACTAATTGGCTTATTCCACTAAAAAGAAATTGCACTCTTGCTTTTTTTTCCCTGACTTTTCTCCTATGAAACTAGCACACATCCTGAATTCTTAAGATTTTCTGTGCTTCTCTACACTGTCACATGGACATCAATCTTAACAAAATTTCACAATTTGGTAAGTTAAAAATCCAGCTGCTTTCAGAGGATTTAGAAAAAGTAACAAGATTTTTCCTTCTGCTTGCATTTGGTAGATGCGTGTCTTCTTTTAATCTCAAATATGAAAATGTCACGATGGTTAATTCCTTCATTATGTCTTGATCAGGGACAGCATGTCCTCCTCATAGGAGTGGAATCCAAATCCATTTTAAAAAAAGACATTAGTAATATAAACTCATGTGATTGGCCTACAAAAAAAAAAAAATGTCCACAACTAAGCTCATGTAATTGAATATCATAAAACCTACTTTAAGAGACAGATTTTGCCACTTTGCCTTCCACATGGAATTTAAATTGTGGATTGCAAAAATTGAAAAACTTCATCTGCTTGAGATCATCTTATTTGAGGACTGATTTCTCTTACCATTACTCTTGCACACAAAATATATATATTGATACATTTCTGAAATAGGGAAAAGGAGTTCTTTGGCAATGTGCTCTCTAGGTGGATCTCTTTGGTCCAAAATAACCTGAGTCTTATACAGCAGCTCTACAATGTGTAGGTCATGATACCTGAGGAACGAATAGGAGACATAATTAGAGCATGAAATGCAAGACACGCAAAACATAGTGGTTATTATGAAGTAACAATGAAATAATATTATTTCATAGATTTCTAGGTTGGAAAAGACCTTAGAGATCATCCAGTCCAACCGTCCCTAATCCTCCATTAAACCATATCCCTAAGCAGTTCATCCACCCTTTTCTTAAACACATTCAGGGATGGGGACTCAACCACCTCCCTGGGCAGCCTATTCCAGTGGCTGACAACCCTTTCAGAGAAGAAATACTTTCTAACATCCAACCTGAACCTCCCCTGACTAAGCTTATACCCATTTCCTCTTGTTCTATCGCCCATCACTAATGTAAAGAGCCCTTCCCCTACCTCCCCACCATCCCTTCTCAAGTATTTGTAGGCTGTAATCAGGTCTCCCCTCAGCCTCCTCTTCTCTAGGCTAAACAGCCCCAAATTTGGCAGATGAAAAAAGGGCAGATCACTAAATCATCAA